GGTTGCGTTGTCGGCTGTGGTCGGCTGTGGTCGCCGGCGGCGCTGTCTTAGTGGAAATCCGGGCGCCGGCCACGGGCCCGTGTCCTTGCCGGAGGCCTTCGGTTGGTAACCGAAGGTTATATACGCTCGCCGCCCCTGCCGCCGACCCCCTCCGTCCGACCCCCGCCCGAATCTGCCCGACAAATGTATATGTAATGTATATGTATCTTGTTCTGGATGTTCGAAAGATGTTCAAAAACATCGTTTTTTACAGTGTTTCGTGGCCTTCGGCGTCCACGACAGGGTGCCTGTGGTGTCAGTTATGCGTGCCGCGCGGACAGGCTTAATCGACATTTCGTGGGTGTCGGGCACGTGCTAAGAGCAAAGGCGGAACATGTGCTCCAAGATGATCTGACAGAGGCCTTCAAGAGGACTTAACATAGGTCTCAGATATGGCCCGCATAGCCCCAAGATGGGCGAAGATTGCCTCAAGATGTGGCAACATAGGCCCCACACATTTTCACAAAGCCGCAAGATGACCCTACCTAGCTCTCAGATATGGGAAACATAGCCCCAAGACGGGCGAAGATTGCCTCAAGATGTGGCAACATAGGCCCCACACAGTCTCAAAAAAAAAAGAGAGAGAGAGAGATAGCGAAGATGACCCTCCCTAGCTCTCAGATATGGGAAACCTAGGCCCCACAAAGTCTCAAAAAGAGAGAGAGAGAGAGACAAAGAGAGAGAGAGAGAGAGAGAGAGACAAAGAGAGAGAGAGAGAGCGAGAGAGAGAGAGAGAGAGAGACAGATACAGAGAAGACAGATACAGAGAAAGAGCCAGGGACAGCTGCCGACGAATGCCGCGACGAAAACACCGACGCCCACAGACCTCAACAGGAGGGCAAAGGGAGAGACAGCGAGAGACAGAAAGAAAGTGAAACACAGAGACAAAAAAAAAGAGCCAGACACAGAGTGAGCTACCAAGACGAAGACACGGACAGATACAGTCCGAAAAGGACAAGGCGAGAGAGAATCCAGAACACAAAGCTAGACTCCACAACCCTCTCCCTGCTTGGCCGGCGCCCGGCTGTCAGGCGTAAGCCTCATAAATCCGGGCGCCGGCCAGGACGCCCGTGGCATGCCCGGAGGGCCTTCGGTGGTAACCGAAGGTTATAGACGGGCGCGCCGGCTGCCGCCGACCCTCGGTCCCAAAACGGGGGGACGACCGGTTCACTGAAGCCCCTGTAATTTACAGTGTATCGTGTGTGTGAGGTATAAAAAACACTGTGTTTTACAGGGTTTATTGCGCATATCGAAGTACGACGGGGGGAAAAGGGAAAAATGCAAAAATGCTGTGTTTTTCAAGGGTGGTGTCGGTAATGCGCGCCGGGCGGACAGGCTTAATCGACATTTTGTGGGTAGAGGCCCTCCAGACGACTTACATTTCCTAACATATCCTCAACATAGGCCCAAGATAGCCAACATATGCCCAACATAGCCTCCAAGATGGCTCAACATAGGGCCAACATGCCCAACCTGGGCAAACATAGGCCAACATAGGCCTAACATAGGCCGACATAGGCTCAACATGGGCCCAAGATGTGCCCAACATAGATCACATGGGCCCAACTTGGCCCAACCTAGGGCCAAGATGCGCACCAGATAGCTTAACTTTGCTCAATATAGGGCCCCCATCTCCGACGCGGACCAGTTTCCCACCTTGGCACCACCCAGGGCCCAGTACGCCCCCGATAGCTTAACGTGCACCCGACCCAGCCCTACACAGACCCAAGTGGGCCGGCGCCCGGCTGTTAGGCGTAAGCCTTTAAATCGCAATATATCTGGCTTCATTGCAGGGTCTGGTGGTTACGTTGTCGGCTCTGGTCGGCTGTGGTCGCCGGCGGCGCTGTCGCATTGGGAATTGCAATAGATCTGGCTCCGTTAGAGGGTCTGGTGGTTGCGTTTTCGGCTCTGGTCGGCTGTGGTCGGCTGTGGTCGCCGGCGGCGCTGAGAACTGGCGAGTTTCTAGTACAACTTTAGTACGCGGAGCAATCTGTGGAGCTGGAAGCTGAGAACGACTTTGTAGTACAACTTTAGTACGCGGAGTAGCTGTGGAGCTGGAAGCTGAGAACTGGCGAGTTTCTAGTACAACTGTAGTACGCGGAGCAATCTGTGGAGCTGGAAGCTGAGAACTGGCGACTTTGTAGTACAACTTTAGTATGCGGAGTAGCTGTGGAGCTGGAAGCTGAGAACTGGCGAGTTTCTAGTACAACTTTAGTAAGCGGAGCAATCTGTGGAGCTGGAAGCTGAGAACTGGCGACTTGGTAGTACAACTGTAGTACGCGGAGTAGCTGGGGAGCTGGAAGCTGACAAGTGGCGACGTTCTAGTACAACTTGAGTACGCGGAGCAATCTGTGGAGCTGGAAGCTGAGAACTGGCGACTTTCTAGTACAACTTGAGTACGCGGAGTAATCTGTGGAGCTGGAAGCTGAGAACTGGCGACTTTGTAGAACAACTTTAGTCCGCGGAGTAGCTGTGGAGCCGGAAGCTGAGAACTGGTGA